CTTGAGACGGTGCTCCTCCTATACAAATACCGACACGACGTTGATCGTATCAAAGATACAACACTTGTGTGCAATGCCATTATACATGTTATATGCCTATAAGCGGCTATAATGCCATATCAATATAATGATGAACTTATACACGTATCTGTCATGGCATGGTCACAGCATAAACTCGCTTATAACGAGAAAAACCCTGTAACCGCAAGTGGTAATCAAGACACTGCTTGCAAAACGATATAAAAGTTATCTTATGATGTCCAATTATATAAAAGATGCTGCATTAAAATGCATATAGGTTTACAAATAATAAGTTGTATAAGTAGCAGGTTATATATTTTTTCTGAAAATGCATAGATGTAGCAGGTTTTTATTTTTTCTGAAAAATGCATAGATGTAGCAGGTTTTTTGCAGGTTTTTCGCAGTTAGTTATAGTCTGTCTGTCTGTTATCAGGGCTCTGACCTTGTCTTCCTTCTGCCGCTGACTCTTGTACGCGTTGAACGCTTGTTTCTTGTCGCTGAGCTTCTTCATGGCAGTGTAGCGCGCGTCCGTGACAATCAGCTTCATCGCCTGCTCCCACGATGCTGTCACCGGCACGTCCTACAACATGACACAAGACCTTGTCACACGTGTCAACACCCTGCTGTCACCAGCACGTCCTACAACAATGACACACAATAGACCTTGTCAACACGTGGTCAACACCCTGCTTGTCCCAGCACGTCCTACAACATGACACAAGACCTTGTCGCACTTGTCAACACCCTGCTGTCACCAGCACGTTCTACAACAGTGACAACAAGCTCCTTGTCACACGTTGTCAAAGCCCTGCTGTCCCGCAGCCACGTACTACAACATCGACACAAGACCTGTCACACCGTGTCAACACCAGCTGTGTCCCCAGCACGTCCCACAAACATGACACGACCTTGTCACACGTGTCAACCCCGTGCAGCTCACGCCACGTACGTAACACATTACACAACACCTTGTCACATCGGGTCAAACCCTGCCTGCCCCAGCACCGTCCCTACAACATGACACAAGACCATTGTCACACAGTCAAACACCACTGCTGTCACCGCCGTCCTACCAACACTGAACAAGTCCTGTCACACGTGTCAACAACCCTCTGGTCACCGCGCAGCGTTCCATCACAACATGAGACAAGTCCTTGTCACACGTGTCAACACCCTGCTGTCACCAGCACGTCCTACAACATGAGACAAGTCCTTGTCACACGTGTCAACACCCTGCTGTCACCGGCACATCCTTGTCACACGTGTCAACACCCTGCCGTCACCGGCACATCCTTGTCACACGTGTCAACACTGCAACACTACAGAGCTAACACCCTGCTGTCACCTGCCACATCACCTGTCACGATGTGTCAAACACTGGCAGCCACTACACAGAGCTCAACACCCCTGCCGTCACGGCACATCCTTGTCACACGTGTCGACACCCTGCTGTCACCGCCACATCCCTGTCACATGTGTCAAAACTGCAGCACTACAGAGCTAACACCCTGCTGTCACCGGCATGTCAAACTCCTACCTTCTCCTTCAGCAGGTCCTTAAACGCCTCCATGGCTTCTCGCTTGTTCGCGTACGTCACTGGCTTCTTCTGCGTAGTCGGCTTCTTCTCATCCTCCTCCTCCTCTTCCTCCTCCTCGCTGCAAGTTTTACAAATATCACTTTTTAATTACCATGCTACCAATCCCTCACGATAGTAAATAGTATGCGAGATTTTTGCTGGAAAAAATGAACGGTGATCAGAAATACTTCGTGGCGGTTTTGGCCGCGGTCGCAACACGAAACTTTGCCTGATCCAAGCCCACGGCTATTCCACTGTTTGATCAGTGAGAAAGCACTTTCCTCAGCCTTCGCTCCAGACCACGAGAACGGTATTGGAGTGCTGTAACGATGGTGGTTAACCGCCACATGAAACTACAAGCAGGGATTGTAGACAGGCACACCCACAACCCAGAGTTATTCCCGAAACACCCAGCACCCCCCCCCAAAAAAACACACCTAATCACCACCCCCCCACTACACCGCCAGACCACCCTCCAAAACACCAGACTACCAACAGCCCCCCCCCCACACATTCCAGAACCCTCCGGCCCAAACACGCCATACCACCCCCTCCCCCACACACCAGACCAATCCCCCCCCTCACACACCCAGACCCCTTCCCCCAAACACCCAGTCCACCCCCTCCCCCAAACACCAGCACCTCTCCCCTAAGCACCCGGACCTCTCCCCACAGATGCCTTCCCCTGCGCTTGCCACAGTGGTGCCCTCACCTGGAGCTCTCGTCGTCAGCGGGGGTGCCGGGTTTAGACGGCGTCTTCTGTACGTCCGGCAGCGAGATGGAAGCTAGCGTGGCGGCCATCGCCTCCTGCATCGCAGACGACACCGACGACGGGTCCGCCGACGCCGCCTGCTGGAGAGAACGAGAAACGCTGAACCAAAATATTTTTTACAATTTGTTCTTTTGTTCTTGATTTATGTTGCTATGCTAATTTATTATGTTATTTTTAATAGGTTACTTCATTCTCGACCATGTCATTGCGAGATTCGTTGACGCTAACTAACTATATGTTATTATTAATAAATTAATTAATTTCTCTTGTCTGCACCTTGGGTACACACTACACTATGCACATCTTCATTACAAAGTGGTTAAATGCATTAATTCAATCATGCTAACACTCCCATCCGCTGCCACCGAGTGAAAAGACACCTTCGATACCTGGTGAAGCAATCATACTACATATATATATATATATACTACTAGCTGTGGGTACCCGCTGTGCTGGGTGAAATCGTGCTACTAATTCATACTACTAATAATGGGACACAATAGGAACATTGGGTAAAAATCGACAATAACATTGCACACAATATCAATATTTACAAATCAGTCTAATAAGATAAGGCCGACCAAAAAATTACCTTTGGTTCAGGTCACCCGCCCGCACTTCACATTTCGGAGTGAAAAATGTGCGACTGCGGTCACTTTTAGAGGGTTTCAAGAAAAAATATAATTCAAAGATACTGCCTGCCGATCATACATATTCAAATATCCGACTCTTGTCATTTTATTTACCTAAAAAAGAGTTCCAAAAATATTTTTCCATACAACGATGAAATACAGTCGTATAGAGCCTGGCCAGCTATTCATAAACAGAGCCTGAAGGTCATATGGCGCGGCGGGCCGCTTTAATGTACGCGATCGATCGCGTTACATATATAGTATAACATGCGATCGTTGGCTATACGCTAGGCCGCAGAGCCAGTTGAACCGCGCTCACGCTGTGGCAGCACACAGGGAAGTTCCACACCGTCTGCTACACTGAACGTGCGTTTTTTACGTTGACGATTCGAGCTGTTGTTTTTACGTTGCTCTCTCTCTTCTAGTGTTTGTGTGATGTGTGTGCGTGCGTGCCAGTGCGTGCGTGCGGTGCGTGCTGTGCGTGCCGTGCTGCTGTGCGTGGCTGCGTGCATGTGTAGAGGTGAG